CTTGAGTAATAGGCATAAGTAAATGCTTGATAAACATTTCGTTCACAAATAAATGAATATGCAATATTTTGAGGCATTTGGAAAGAAGTTTTTTTAGCCTAAAATGTTATTATTTTATAAAATGCTGGGTACAAGTTTTTCAGGTGAGATTTTGATCTATCTTTCTTATTTAATTCCATTACATGTCATGGCAGCAAGTGGCTGAATGGTTAGAATATAGATTTTGTGCTTAGACATATAAAACTTTGTTTGAATTCCTGCAGTATCACTGACTAGTTGTGTGATCTTGGTGATATGGTTTGGATGTGTGTCCCCTCCAAATCTCATTCTGAAATGTGATTCCCAGTGTTGGGGGTGGATCTAATGAGGTGTTTGGGTCATGAAGGCAGGTCCTTCGTGAATAGATTAATGCCCTTTAGTGGGGAGGGGTGCTGGGTGAGTGAGTTCTCCTTCTATTATATTTTCCAGGAGAGCTGGTTGTTAAAATCACCCTGGCAGGTGATTGGATCACAGGGGCAGATTACTCATAAATGGCTTAGAACCATCCCCTTGGTGATGAGTGAGTTCTCAGTCTGGCAGTTCACATGTGATCTGGTTGTTTAAAAGAGTGTGTCGCCTCCTTCCTTGCTCCCTTTCGCTCTCACTCTCTCTTGCTCCTGCTCCCTCTTCCCTCTTGCTCCCACTGTCTCGCCTGGTGACATGCTGGCTACACTTCACCTTCTGTGATTGTAAGCTTACAATCACCACTGTGATTGTAAGCTTCCTGACGCCCTCACCAGAAGCAGATGCTGGCACCATGTATGGCCTGCAGAACTGTGAGCCAATGAAACCTCTTTTCTTTACAAATTACCCAGTCTCAGTTATTTCTTTGCAGCAATGCAGAAACAGACTAAGGGGCCAATGTGGGGAAACCCCACCTCTACTAAAAACACAAAAATTAGCTGGGCATGGTGGCAAACACCTGCAACCCCAGCTACTTGGGAGGCTTAGGCAGGAGAATTGCTTGAACCCGCGGAAGCAGAGGTTGCAGTGAGCCGTGATCATGCCACTGCACTTCAGCTGGGCAACAGAGTGAGTGAGACTCCATCTCAGCGCGCGCGCGCACACACACACACACAAACAGACTAAGATATTTGAGTGGGTTATTGAACACATTTGGGTAGATTTGAGGCTCAGAAACTCTCTGAGCCTCAAAATTTCCCTCATTTGTAAAACAGGGCTAGTAACAGAGTTGCTGGGGATTCCATGAGATAATGCGTGCAAAGCACTGAGCCCAAGATGAGGAACACAGGAAAAGCTCAACACATGGAAGCTAATTAACATTTGCCTGTTCTGTGCTACTCATCATGCTTTTCCCTGGGGAGGTGAAAGTGGGAAAGGACTTCACAACTCCATGGAGTTGAGAGTTGCCTAAATAAATAAATGTATCCTCATGTGTAATGTGCTACAGGAGCGTAGACGATGGAAAAATTAATTTTGCCTGGATAGTCAGGTAAGGCTGCTGTGAGGCACTGATACTGAGTTCCGGATAGGGCAGAGGGCTCACTGGTTGGCTCAGAGTTGCCACACAGCAAACGCTTGGGGAATGGATGGTACGAATGACTCATAAGCTCAGGGGTGCTGCCCAGCTGGTGTCTGTGTACACATGGTATCCTGTGTTTTTTGCTTTTCTCCTGTACACATTTCCATGTGCTGACATGGCTTCTGTGTGATTCCATCATAGCTTGTGTGTGATTCCCTGATTAAATAGCTTCTAATATCTTATTATAATTATTATTTTTTTTTTTGAGATGGAGTTTCACTCTTGTTACCCAGGGTGGAGTGCAATGGCGCGATCTCGGCTCACTGCAACCTCTGCCTCCTGGGTTCAGGCAATTCTCCTGCCTCAACCTCCTGAGTAGCTGGGATTACAGGCACGCGCCACCATGCCCAGCTAATTTTTTGTATTTTTAGTAGAGACAGGGTTTCACCATGTTGACCAGGATGGTCTTGATCTCTTGACCTCGTGATCCACCCACCTCGGCCTCCCAAAGTACTGGGATTACAGGCTTGAGCCACCATGCCCGGCCAATATCTTATTATTATAAATAGATTTGAAGTCCTTGAGGGCAAGAAGTATGTCTCTGTTCATCCAGACAGCACCTAGTATGTACTAGGTTCCCAGTAATGTTGGATATATAAATGAATGAGTGAACTCCTTTGACTGCTGGCCCTGCCATGTGCTGGCTGTGGGATCTTTAGCGAGTCTGTTAACCCCTCTGCACCTCGGTGTGTCTGTAAAGTGGGTTAGTATATTTCACAGGTGGGTATATTTCACAATGTGTTGTGAGGACTAAGTGATTTGACGCCCGGTGGCTGAAGGTAGTAAGTGCGCGTTAAACAGTGGCGCCCTTCAGCTCTGACAGCTGTGCTGCCACATCCAGGAGTCTGCAGAGGCTTCACGGCAGAGTGAAGCCTGGAGCGTTCTGCTGCAACTGCTGGCAAAGGAGACATTTCAAAGCTCTTTCTTAATGCTAGGGTGAGACCTGCCCACTGATAAGGAGTTTCTATTTGGGACGCCCTCTGGAAAGCACCAGGCCCCTGGGACGGTGCCCTGGCCTCCCACATACGCCTGCTTCCTCAGTGACTACACTCAGGGGCATCACTGACTCAGGGAGCAGCTGGAGGTGAGTTCCCTTATCTCCTCTTGACTCCTTCACTATAAAACTGGAGCTAATAAGGCTTCCTTCCAGTCAGTCATCCGGTGGAGAAAAGTCACTCAGAATGTGACTCCCACATGAGGCTCAAAAAGGTGTTTTCTAAATATAAAACTCTGAGGAAACAAAAAACTCTCCAGACCCTTGGAGACCCCCAGGGTCATGGGCTATGAGTTAAATAAAAAACCCACCAAACTGATGAACTCCCCATTTCTGAGGTTTTGGAGAAGGAAAATTAAAAGACTAAAGAGCAATTATTTTCAGCTTCAGACCAGGTACTGTATTTACGGCTTCCAGGCTGGGACTGTCCAGGACGTCATTCATCAGTTTCATTCACCTGCTGGACTCCTGTTTTGGTGAATGTTCCTCAGCCCAAGATGCCAATCCAGTGGCTGACCAGTAGTGACTGAAGGGCATTTAATCCCCACATTTCGTGCTGCCTCTGTGGACCTGCTCTGGGGAAGTTGGTGGACTGCTGGCTTGGAAAGGTTCTGGTTCCGCCATGAGGGGAGTGAAAGCCAGAGAGGTAGGACTGGGCAGCCCACTCTTTGGGAGTACATTGCCACTGAAACTCTGGGGCCATTCCCTGAAGTGAGTCACATTCCCTTGAAGTCTGAGTGATAAAGCAGCCAGCAATTTAAAGGAAAATGCTCCAGCCCCAAGCCAGGGGGACCGTCCCAAAGCCAGCTCAAGCCAAGGAGACTGTCTGAAACTTCAGATGAATTCCAGCTGCCCTGCAGTGCAGGGTTTACAGGCATGGGGTTCACTCGTGGCTTCAGAGATGCCCCTTTGCCATGTCTCTGGGACTTCTT